CCTCGGACTCTGTGGGACAGATTCACGAAAGGCCTTGCCTAAAACACGGGTACAGGGTTTGTGCTCAGCTCATGCCCGGTGTTCCTTCCCCAAGCAGGACTGTCTTCAGCTGCTTCCTTGAAGGCGTTCGGAGCTGCTGCGCACTGCTCTTTGAGAATCTGGCCTATCGAGAGTATGGTCCAGGAGTAACCCGAGACCCTTGATGTCTGTTAAACTAATTACGCTTCAGCCTCAGAGTGCCCAGTGCTCCCAATCCTGAACGCTCAGCAGATTTTATGTAGTGTCTGAATTATTCATGGAGGTGATAGGGAACAGGGGGGCCCGCCAGCTCGTTCCGCTCGGAGCAGGTCTGAGGAGGGTGGCATTCCAGGCAGAGAGGCCTCTGTTCGCCAAGCGATGGAGGGAGCAGGCCTTCGAGAGGAGCTGTGCCCTGACCGGAGCTTGTGCCAGTATGCCCAGAAAATCACAGCCTGCTTTGGAAGCGTGGGTAAGACCCCCCGGAACTTGGGCTTGCCGAGGTGGTGCCGGCGTGGAGGGTGAAGGACTGAAGGAGTAAACTTGCAGGTGGCAGAGAGCGGGTGGAGCTGCGGGAGCAGGAGGGCTTCAAGTGGATGGAGGCTTGAGAATCCCTGTCAGAGCCCTTCCGTGCGACCTCTGGCCTTGTCATTGCCTCCTCCGCCCAGCTCAGCCGCAGAAATCATTCTGACCATTGTGAGCCGCTGACGGTGTTTGAAAAGGGCTTGATGAACACTCATGTTTGCTTATTTCTGATTGGAAAACAAAACAACAAACTATCCAAAATGAAATGCCATTAATCCTGTAATAATTAATAAAATGCATGGCTGCAACATCAAACAATATCCTTAGAACATCAATTCTGTAAAGATTCCCAATTTAAGGTGATTTTTCTCTCTGAAAAAATTTTGCCCCATAAAAAGTGAGGCACTGGTAGATCTTAGCAATTGTTTAAAGGCCAAGGCTTGGATAGGGGCTGGGAGATTGGGGCTAGGCGATAAAGGGAGATTTGTTTGAACAAAGACCTACATCATGACATGGACTAATGACAGGTAGGGTGCATTTATGGAACATTGCTGCATGGTGGTCTGTGATTAGCAGGGCTAGGATATCTGTTCCCTGAACTCCATGCAGCCCGAACTCCTGGCTCTGTGGTTGACCTTCCGCTCACCAGATACTTATTGAGCTCCTTCTGTGTGCAAAGGCAGAATGCTCAGAGGTCTGGGCGCTGGTCCCTGGGTGAATTTGCCTGTGGTGATTTCTTGTAATCATTTATCATAGAAGAAGAACTTGTTTAGGTGCAATTGAACTATGTCTGCAGGGATTAGAACTTCCCATCTGAGGGACTCTGTAAGCCAGTGAAAAGTCTTGGATGAAAATGAACATTTGTCAATAGCTTTGTATTGCATTGTATTACAAACAATTAGAGAACTCACCATCCTCCTTTGTCCTCTTCTGTGACTCTGATTTCATGTGCACTGTGGCTGGAGGCTGATGTCCATGCAGCAGGAGAAGAACCAGGTTCACTGATGCTTCTCTGGGGTCGTCTTCATACTGGGTTTTCACTGCTGTTTAAAGATGTTACTATCTGGCAGATGCCACTGAAAAACATATGTTTGAGTTGAGAAGCTTGGCCTTTACAGAGTATTTACCCTTTCTAAAGGAGCAGATGCAGTGTGGGGATGGCAGAGTCTGACATCTACCTGCTTTATAAAGGGGAACTGTCCCCATCAATAATATCCATAGCACCTTACAATTAGCTACATGATCAGACCTGCCACCCCATATGCTCCTGCACCTATTTTCTGTGAATCATTTGGTTCAATGTTTGTTGCAATTTGACTCACAGACTTTACTCACAGTTGTGAGGTTTATTAGGGAAATAGGTTGCAAAGTTGTGGGGGAAGCAAAAATATGACACAATACAAGTCCAGATTTAGTCCAGCAGTCCCAAGCCAGATTAACAAGGCAAAATTCCTCTGTTAATGAAAGTCCAGGTTCCATTCAGCAGCACAAATAAACCTCTAGTTTCCTCAGTCAACCAGCAAACTTTATCTCAGTGTGGTTATGAGTCAGCTATTCTTTAAGTCATCCAGCAAGCAAAGCCTTTAACCGTGGCTCCATCTCCAGGGTTCCTCTGATTATGCCTTCCCACAGTCTCTCCCCAGCAGTGCCACAATCTTTTCACCCTCTTTCACAGTGTGGAAAGCAATCTTTTATATTGGTCCCACAGCTGTTGATGATTTGTAAGGCTATATCTCCACAGTTAAGGTAGCTGGAGACCATGCCCCCAGTGGGGAGCTAACACAATAGATAGAACAGCCAGTTTTCAAGGTTTCTGACACCACATCCCTGAACTATGTGGAGGAGATTTAATTACGACCTTTGTACATCTTGGAGAAAGGGACTTATATAATGAATGCCCATGGTCATGCTGGCTTCAACCCTCAAGCCATCAGCACCTGGACTCTTCTCTTTCCCAAACACCTGCACAAGGGGCCATCATCTTCCTGTCTATAGGTTGTTCCATGATGTGTAAATGTGAACTTCATTATTCTCATCGGTCTTCTCAGTGTTTGCCTTAGTTTGCCTTCTGTTCTGACTAAAATAATTGATAATGACATCTCTAAGTGATAGACATGGTTACTACTCTTAGCTGCTAGCTTAAAGATTAGAAGTTCAAGTTCACCCAGAGAGGTCTCAAGAGGAAAGATCTGGTAATCTACTTCTGAAATATCAACTATTGTTAGCCCTGTGGGGTACTGTTCTGCTCGGACCTATGAGCTTGCCATGAATCTTATTAGTCTTAAGCTGACTCAAAGATAATAAGGTTTTGTACTGTTCAAGTTGTTCAGAAATCTCTAGTGTCTCCTTTAGAGAGCTCTCGATGCAGTGCTAACACAAAGGCGCTGTCCTCTGGCATTTCAGAGCCATCAATGGCTCTTCAGGAGAAAAATGAGCAATGACTTCTTGTGCGATTTACCACTTTGAAAACCAAGTGGAGGAAGGTCAGCTATGAGTAAGAACCAACTATAAAGAAGTGAGTGAGTGTGTGTCTCGTTGGGAAAATGATGTAGCAGCTGCTTCTGTAGAGGTTTACAGCCTTGGCATCCCTGTGGGGCAGCTCTCCTTTGGTCTGTAAGGGTCACTATGAGTTGGCATTAATGAGATAGTAATAGAAATGGAAAGGGGTGAAGGCTTCCATGAAGAGAAATGTATGTCAGAACATAGTGGCCCTGGATAACAGGAGGAAAAGTCATTGCCATCAAGTCCAAACTGACTCATAGCTGACCCTCCCTGAAGTTTCCCGGATTATAAACTGCGTGTGAGGAAATTGCCCATCTTTCTCCTGAAGACCCTCTGGTGGATTTGAACCATCAGGGAGGCATGGCCTTTCAGTTAGCAATGCAACATCCTATGAACCAGGCCGCCAGAGCTCCCTGTAAGTGGAGGAGGGTGGGCTTATTCACTGTGACTGTGACTATTGCCTGGCGCTAGGCCACTGCTGACTGCAGTTAACTTTCTGTAGGATGTCAGAGATGAGATGCTCACTGCCAGGTTTGCCCTTTGCATTTCACTCCCTGATGACCCAAGGCTTGTTCTAGCTTGTGACTTGGTGAAAACACACTGACGCCTACATGGTCCCCTTCATACGATTTTGGGAGAAATTCTGCAATAACAGAAAAGCTACAGAATGGCATTCAGAATGTTATTAACACTTGGATAAATGGCGTCAGATAGGAATATTTTTCATGACACAGGAGAACAGATTCCCCCACGATGCTGCTGTTGTTGTTGATGTTGTTGTTGTTGACTGCCTTTGAGTTGAGCATGGCTGGTAGCTACCCTATGAACAAAAGGCCCGAAGCCCCTCTACAACTATTGACATTTATCAAAATTCACAGTTTTCAGAGGCATGTCGTTTAGGAAGTGGAAGCCACTCCTCCTTCCAAACCTGCCATAGTATGTTATTGTTGTTATGTGCCATTGAATTGCCTGTGATGCATAGCGACCCTATGTACAGCAGCTCTGAACCCTTCTCTGTCCTGAGCCATTCTAACTAATTCCGACACACCAACCCCCATTGCCCCAGTTACTGTATCAATCCATCTCATCCGGGGTCTCTCTCTCCTCTCTCTGTCTACTCTTCTAAGCATGATGTCCTTCTCCAAGGACTGATCTCTCTTGGCCACGTCCCCAAAGTAAGTGAGGCAGAGCTTCAAAATCCTAGCTTCCAAGGAGAGACTTGGTTTGACCATTGATAAGATGGGAAAATCAGTGTTCTTCTGTAGCCTGGAGCAAGTACTAATGGCTTAGAGGTGAATCCCTCACCTGCTAACTTCAAGGTCAGCTGTTTGGAACTGTCAGCTCTGAAGGAGAAAAATGAGTCCGTCTACAATATATTTCTATAAGATTTACAGCCTTGGAAACCCTTGAGGGCAGTTCTATTCTGTCCTGAGTCCGAAAGTAGGTATGGCCTTGAGCTGATTTTGTTGATAGCTGAACCTTTGAGACATTTAATTGAAACAGTCCCTCTGTGAAAACTGAAATACGAGAGGACTTGGAATTATCGCCTGGGTTTTCACTGGCATGCTTTAGATTACAACCTGTGCACAGTCTATGTCTGGATTTATTCCTAGGAGATATTCTTACCAGATTACATTGAGTATACTAGGAATATTTACAGGTGAATCCCTTAGATTTTGCAGCTTTATCTCCTCTCTTGATGGGTATTAATTTGATTTCCTTTATGCCTCAAACTGTCATAGTTTTGCAGGGACAGTTTATATACACGATCATCTTTCTGGGTATATCAAGCCCTAAGCTCTCAAGGGTAATCACTTAAATACATCTCCTTTAATCTGCTTTGCTGGGCACCGAGAACAAAACAAGAAGGATCGAGGAGAACAAAGAGCGAGTTGTGGGGAAGCACGTCTTCCTTAGTCTCTGCTGTCCATTTCTTCTGTCTTTGTCCCCACGCCAAGATGCCATCCTTCTTTGGCCTGAAGTGTTTGGAGAGGTCATGCAGCTCGGAGGAAGGCAAAGTCCTCTCATCCCACAGAACCAGCACCAGGGGCTCGTACACACAGAGACTGGTTGTGAAGGACGTGAGCATCACCGAGACCCCTTACCCCACTCACAGGCGAGCCACCATCACACACCTGTTGTACCTACACCCGGAGGACCACTGCCTGCATGAACACGTGTTTAACAGCCTTGGTCATCTCGGTAGGTGGTGAGTGAAGGAGCCTTCTCTGTAGATGTGGTTTTGTGTTGTATGAGTAAATAATAAATTCCCTAAAGAGCTTTGCTGGCATGTTGTGTTACACATTGCACTGCCAATCAAAAGGCCAGTGGTTCAAATCCATCAGTGGCTCCACAGGAGAAAGCGGGGCAGTTTCTTCCCATAAAGATTTGCAGCCTCAGAAACTCATCGGAGGGTCACGAGGAATTGGAAGAGACTGGGCAGCAGTGTGTTTAAGGCAGCGGTGGTTCAGAGAGAGAATTCTCTCCTCCTGGGCAGGAGGCTTTGCTTTCCTGTCAGTTGAGAATTGCTTGCACGTTATTTTTTATGCTGAACAGGTTTTACTGATTCTTCTTGAGTAAAACAGACTAAGATGAGAGGGCTGGCAGTGTCCTTCTAAAGTAGCCAGTGGAAACCCTGTGGATCACAGTGATCCACCCTGGCCGTGGGGATGACACAGTTTTCAACATCTTCTTGTTTGGTTGTGTCTGGGGGTTGCCATGAGTTAGGGTCCGACTTGACTGCAGTTGACTGCAACGAAGTATCCTCTGGAGCCAGACCTTTGTAATTTGTACTTCAAAGGAAACACTATACTTGATAGATAATTAATGGGGAGGGGTAATTATGCTGGAGACTGTAACTTAAGTACATCGATGAAGCTAAGGGGATTTTTTATTATACACAGGATATCATCACAGTCACAAGCATGCTGCTTTCCAAACTTGATATGAATATTTGTTGAGAACAGGACGTACAATGGAAAAGAAGGCTCTCTATCCAGATAAACAGATATTGCTCTTTTATGTGATAAGAATGAACGAGAAAGAACTGCTCAAGGCAGCAAATGGAGCCTGGTATATTATGACCTAAATAAAGTTGTGGTTCAGATTATATCGCTGCTTAGAGAAGACTCAGACTGCGAAAAATACTTGAAAGAGGTTTATTTTATAGCGAGGACTTATCAATGCTTCTTTTCACTGAAGCTCATTAAAACTTGGACACTTATCCCCCAGCTTGGAGAGAAACGGAAAAAGCCCAGTGTGTAGGTAGTTATCTCAATCCCAGGCTTTATAGTAATGCCTTTATTAACAATCATGATACCTACCCAGATGTTCATCCCTTAGCAAAATCATTACTAGAACTTGTACTATTAGATGTGATCTCTTGACTGCTATTTCCAAGGGAATTGGCTGAAGATCCAAGTAAAAATGAAATCTTTGAGAACTTGATTCATGGTGATGTTTGTCATGATCTTGATGTGTTTATTAGTTCATTTGTGAGGATTTTTTCTTCTTCTTCTTTATGCTGAGGTGTGTTTTTAGATACTGCTGAGACAAAATCAGTCAATAAATCTATGCATTACAGCAGTCAATAAATCACAAGATGCGTTGCATTGGGCAGATCCGCCAAAGACCTCGTCAAAGCGCTAACAAACAAAGATATCACTTTAAAGACTAAGGTGCTCCTGACTCAAGTAATGTATTTTCATTTGCTTCATCTACATTTGAAAGTTAGACTCTGCATAAATAAGACTGAAGAAGAATGGATGCCTTTGAGTTATGGTGTTGGTGAAGAATGTTGCCCAAAGAACAAATAGATCCATTTTGGAAGAAGTGCTTCCACAATGCCCCAGAAGGAAGAAGGGTGAGATTTCTGTCTCACCTGCTTTGGGCCCGTTATTAGGGGAGCCTGTCCTTAGAAAAGGACATTATATTTGGTGGTGGATCAGTAAAGGAGGGAAAGACTCTCACTGAGATGTATTGGCCCAGCGATGGCAGAAAGGTCGTAAACATTGCAGAGACTGACATGTTGTTGAGTACCGCTGAGTCAGAACCAATTCATACCTGATCCTCTAGTGAATTTTCAGAGGTGGTAGATTGCACCGGAGGACATTGCCCATCTTTCTCCTTTGGAGCAGCTGGTGGATTTGAAATATGTGCCTTTAGGATGGAAGCACAGCTTCTTACCAGTAGGCCACCTGAGCACCCTAGAGATTGACAGAGTCACGGTAAATCAGAGCCAGTTCAGTGGCACCTAACAACAACAAAATGTGATGCCTATAAATGTATAAAAATGCCAAATGAGTCAGAATGCATCACATATGTATGCTTAGTAATTTGGGGGATTCTAGAGACAATGGCAGGCTTAGGTTAAGGGTCCAACTTATACTGAGCCAACCTTTACTGAGTGCTGGCTGGCAGAGTGGCCAGCTGAAACAAGTCAGTCTTATTTATTCATTGTCTTAATTTCACATGAATATGAAGCAAATGAAAATGCATGACTTGAGTCAGGAACACCTCAGTCTTTAAAGTTACATCCCTGCTCATTAGCACTTTCAAAAAGGCCTATGGCGGATTTGCCCAATGCAACACATCTTGTGATATGGCGCAGATTCTGGCAGATGCGGGCAGTGACAGCCAATTGGCTCTCCCACCCTCCAGCTGAGTGGAGTGTTGACAGGGGAAGGAAGGAGCCCTGGTTGCATAGTGGTTAAAGTGCTTTGCTGCTAACCAGAAGGTCAGCTGTTTGAACCCACCTTCAGCTCCAAAGGTGAACAATGTAGCATTTGTTGCTATAAAAACTACAGCCATAAAAACCTCTATGGAGCAGTTCTGCCCTGTACTGTAGAGTCACTTTGAGTTGGAATCCCTTCAACAAAGGTGGGTTTGATAGAGTTTGGGTAGAAGGCAGGGCCGGCGGCCGGCGTCAAGGGGTGACAGAGTAAATTGCAGTGAGTGTGAGCTGGACAGTGACTTGTCAGCAGGTTCAGTGACAAGAAAAAGAAAAGAATAAACAGCATCACAGAGAGTCCTAGGTAAAGGGAGGCAGGCTTTGGGATACCCGTATCTTTGCAGAGACAGATAAGGGAATCTGAGGGATTAGCTCAGTGTTGTGGCTTTGGGGTTGGACAGTCCAGAATTCGAATCCCACCTCCTACACATGTCATTTTGGGAGATTAGTGTCTCCAAGTGTAAAGTCTTCCATCTGTAAAGTTTGCAGGACAGTGCCTACCTTATATAATTACTGTAATCAGGCCTGCCCCGAGAGCATATGGGCTCTAAGTAAATATGTTGGCGGGGGGAGGGGGGGGGAGTCATAGGGGAGCTTCTGTCTAAAGAAATCATTTAGGCCACTTCAAATTGGTGTGTCAAGAGCTCAGTCTTACCAAAACCTTAGGGAAGAAATGTCACCCAAGCCTCAAGATTGAGGGATAATTTCCCAGATTTGTGATCTGGATTTGTACCAGCTTCAGGGCCCGGGGCTGGCACAAGTCCTCAAGCTGCCTGGGCATCTGGTTGACCCTCTGCACCGTCACTGCAGCAGGAGGTGAGGGCAGTGAGAAGAGGCCTGTTGGGAAGAGTTCTGAGGAGGAGTCTGGGGTACCACATATAGACAGCACTGCTGGCCCTGGCTGGTCTCTGATGCCAGGAGGAGACATAGGAAATGTTGATTAATGGCATGGGATCAAAGTGGGGTTCCTGCTTGTCCAAGTCTGAAGGCAAGACTGATTATGAGAATTAAATAAGAATATGCATATCAAAGTAGTTTATATTGGCACATACACCCTCCCTTATTGTGGTCAGGTGACTCCCCAGAAGCTTTTAATCACATGGCAGGAGACTGCCTGTCTTTCTCCCACAGAGCAGTGGGTGGATTCAAACCTGCCTATCTTTGGGTTGGCAGCACAACCTCTTACCCACTAGGCCACCAGAGCTTCTGATGCCAAATACAAATATCTAAGAAATATGAGCAATAGTATTAGTGATAACTCTTTGAGAGAAAATTATGACTTCTGTCATTTGTGGTGAAGTATTAGAAGTTTGGTACTGAGCCTGTCAGAGCCCAGGATCCTGAATGCCGTAGAGGAAGTGGAATTCCCAGGAAGTGGCTGTATGTTTAGGACAAGTACTGGGGGCAGTGCATGCTCCCGCAGTCACAGACATTCCTGTGCTGCTGAAGGCCAGGGACCACTGGCAGGCCAGTCTCGGTTGTTTGGTCAAGGTCACATGCAGCTACAAGGCCCTCACGATGCTGCAGCTTCCTGTTGTTGTCCTGGGCTCAGCTCCTGCTCTGAACCAGCGTGGGCCGCCACGTCTTCCACGGCTCCCACCTGTGTCTCTCCTTTGTCAAGCTCCAAACAACAGCAGGAAGTTGGTGGGGAAGGAACGTTTCTCATTGTTTAAGAACAGGAAATGAATTGTCAAGTGCTGGGATCCGTGGAAAAAGCTAATCTATCCGGGCACTAACGGAATAGCCTCTGCATGTGTGTGTGACAGGAGCCAGGCGGGCACAGAGGTGAAGAGCTTGTTTGCCAACTAAAAGGTGAGCAGTCTGAACCCTCCAGCCGCTCCTCAGGAGAAAGATGTAACAGGCTGTAAAGATCACACAGCCTTGGGAACCCTGTCGGGCAACTCTCCACTGCCCTGGCGTCAGAATTAACAGATTCCAAGTCAGAACTGGCTAGACCGTCATGGAGTTGGTGCCTGTAGCCCTGTCTGTAATTGTGGGAGTTTTTCCTTTGTAGAAGTATGGCTGTCTTGCCTTCACTCAAACGCTGTGTCAAATGCTTTGTCATTTTTCCTTGTTTAATATTCACAATAACTCAACCAAGTGAATGCTGGTTTTAATTCTAGTTTTGTAAGTGAGGAAACAGGCATATGCAACCAAGAAACGATTTCTTCTCCCTTGTCCATTTCCTAGAGTTGCACTGCTGACCCAAAGGCAGCACCCCTCGAAGCGGTCTGCGTCTACCAGCGGCTCAGAAGGGGAAAGGTGGGCGGTGGTCGCCTTCTGTGCAATTGACAGGCTGTGAAACCCCATTGGAGGGTTACTACTCAACAGCAATGAGTTTGAGGAGGTTTGACTTTTATATTCAGTCCACAAACACACGAGTCTGTATGGAGGGGTTTTCCTTTGACCTTAATCTAAGAGCTTAGTGAATATATTTGAACCTGTACTTTCCCCCTGTCCTTCTGAGCATTTG